ATCAATTTAGATATGCCGAAAGAATAGAAATCTAAGATGATTTCGAAGCTTGTACAGCTTTAACAAAGTTTAATCCAAAAAAGAAGTAAACTTTGGCACGAGAGAAAAGAAGTTATATCGAAATCAGAAGAAAGATACACTTTATTTTGTAAGCTACGAAACGACAACTTCAATTGATTTGTCACTCAAGCACCTAGACCAGAAATGAGAAAAAGAACGAAAGAAAAGATCAAAAGAAACGAAAAGAGAAAGAATAAGAAAAAAGATCTAAAAGAAATATAAAACAGAAAAGAAAAGAAGAAACACATATGAGGGACATTAAGCTAAAAGAAGATAAAAAAAGACCGCTAACTTTAATAACAATCAGATAAGTTAGTGTTTCTCTTCCATGTTTACCCTTTGACTAATGTATTTTGTCATGTTATATATTTGCATTCAGACCTGACCTAAGATCTTTTATTAATCATCTAGTTACCTTTCTGAAAAGGATAAATTACGTCCCACAACATTTCTTTTATTGTTTTGGTTTTCGTCGTATCTTTCATATTGTTTTCCCATTGTATGTTAGAGTAATAAATTTATTGAATAGTTAACTCTGCAACTTTGTTTCTGTTGTTTGTCACCCGCTGTGTATGTTCCTTAAGCAATTCCAGCCAGCTCGACTGTGGCTGATCAATCGGAAAGAGACCCTTGAGGAAAGAAATTTGTTGTTATAATTAAATACACGTTAAAATAATCATATAAGTTATGATCCTTCTCTTTCCCCGCTACCGATCCGGTTAGAGGAAGGGGAGGGCCTCAACAATATATATATATATATATATATATATATATATATATATATATATATATATATATATAAAGAAAGAACAGTAAGATATATAATCCGGTGTTCTTAGAGATATTTTATTTTTACAAAATAGTGCTCAATGTAAATTTACAGAGCATTAATATTATAAATTAATAGATTTAAAATATGGTTTTAATATTTTATATTATATATATATATATATATATATATATATATTATAATCATTTCATCCAAGCAAGACGATAATGCGACTTGGACGCAGGGGGGTGGGTACTGGGATTGAAAGAGAACGAGAAGACTTTAGTGAGGAGACGCGAGGAAATGGCATTAAAAGAACAGGGTTCAGAAAGACTGAAGATGGCAACTAACGTTGCATTTAAATTTTTGAAGGCTGTAGATGGCAGGGGAGCAAGAAAACGGGAGGAGGTTCCAGAAGTGAGAAGTGCGAGAAAAGAAACTGTTAGAAGAGCAGTGGCGGTTGCATTTAGCTAGATCAACAGTAAAATGGTGAGACCTACTTTCCAATCTAGCAGTAAATTTATATAGACGAAGCACCAGAGAAAAAAAAACTCACCAGAACAGTTGTCATTAAAATATTAGCAGAAAATAAGGAGGAAACAGCATCACGTAGATGGGAATCTGACTGAAGTCGAAATGTTCGGTCAGGATCGATTATATATTCAGTTCAAGAATGAAATTATAGCAAAAATATCATGGAAAATAAGGAAAACTGCACCAGCCTACAACCTGTCTAGAGGAGAAAATATCTATAATCACTTAACCAGACCAATACAAATTACTAAATAAACGATCGGAACTTATCGCAAAACATTTTTTACTACGTTACTTACAAATTGAAAACTAAAATCGAATATCACAATAAATAGCACCAGGAAAAATGCAAATATATGCATGCACTATAAACAAGTCAAATAATGTAACATACTTTAGACAAACCTAACATTTTAAACTAAAAAATACAATAACGAATCCCCCAAAATGAAATGAAATAAATAAAAAATCTAAATAAATAAAGTAAATAATAAACAACTTAATAAATGTGGGTGGTTCGCCACAATGTGCGTAGCTTGGCGGGTCCTAGCCGTGAAGGCTAAAACTGGTGGAACTAATGCAGTTCGTCCGAGCACTTTCCATGGAAGTAGCAATAGAGCAGTGAGAGGCATGAGACGAGTCATCTGTGAGAGAAGGGGTGGAGGGTGGAAAATAATTTCTGCAAAAGACTAGCTTAAAAGTTCACCCGGAGTGCTGCTTTTAAGCTAGTCAATAATAAAGTTAATAAACAACACTATAAAATAGACACAAAATTACATTTGGATCCACAATTATTTCCACGCAATATCCCCCAGAATAATTAGAAACATAACCCTTACCCTCTGCCTAATAACCGTTAGAATTATAGACCTACACATAATGCATCACTGGCCAGCATATATATATATATATTGCCGAGCCAAAAAACAACGCATATGGTATGACGATGGCGTTTAAGCACGAAAGAGACTGGGGGTTGACCCCAGTGTCACGTTTTATATTTACGTACGCTCTATCCCTGATATCGGGCAATTTAACTCATAAATATAGCATACCTTAAAACTACACTTGCTTTAATTTCGGGAGAAAATAAAAACGAAAACATTTGGATATTTTTTTTATTATTATGCTGTTTCCCGATATAATCTTTCGGCTCACATGAGCCATCGTCAGTGTGATTGTGCGGACATTTCAACAAAGATATTCACCATCAAAGATGACATCCTGTTATTTTTACATAGAAGTTGCTCTGCAACAAAAACGGTAGCGGAATAGCAGACGCTGGTCGTAAATTCGTGGTGAAGTTCTATGACGTCGTACCACGTGAGAGAACGAAATATTAACAACAGAACCATATGTTTAGATGCAATGTAATGTGTTGTGACTAGTTTGAAATGTAATTTTGTTGAGTGTGGGTTGCTTTGTTTTATGTAGATGGCCTCCAGTATCTGAATTTTCTTTTTACTGTGTGAGTATTGTCGTTATCAACTAACATATATCTAATATATATATATATATATATATATATATATATATATATATATATATATATATATATATATATATTCAAGCATATTTCATTAAATAATACAGACAGATTATGATCATATCCAGGAATGAATTCTGAAGATGATTTCGGAGGAGATCGGTGCCATCCTTGATGAATTTCAACTTAACATCAAGATGATAATTAGACCACTAGAAAGGATTATTATAAAAAAAATAGATATAATATTTCTATATTGATTAATGAAACATGCTTGAATGAAGATATGTTACCTATATATATAAATATATATATATATATATATATACACACACACACACACACACAGATTAAGAAAATAAAACCAATCACAAAGTAGAAATTTTTTTCGTGTGACGCGTTTCATCATTTAATACTTCATCAAAAGTGATGTTTATATTGATTTGGCTACACATACGCGTGGAGACGCTAAAGATTTAAACTTTCAAATTTAACTTTTTTTGCGGCCAAGTTCTTAAATTTTAACAACTTTCTTAACAGATTCTATTATCATAATGTGAGATACCTAATATATATATATATATATATATATATATATATATATATATATATATATATATATATATATATATAAGTTATGAAAAAACTTGGTAATCCATATGGGTAATCCCAAGGAGAGCTCAATGTAAAAGGGCTCTGGTGAAATAAATTATTATAATGGAAACTTAAAGTGGCCTGTTTTCTTTAAAATATATATATATATATATATATATATATATATATATATATATATATATATATATATATATATGTGTGTGTGTGTGTGCTTATAAATATCTAATATATATATATATATATATATATATATATATATATATATATATAGAGAGAGAGAGAGAGAGAGAGAGAGAGATAGATAAATAGATAGATAGATAGTTGTGCTTATAAATTCAGTAAATTTCTAAATATGTTATTTAAAAAACCGTTTGAAAATGAAACAGAACAAGGGATTTTAATTTAATCTTAAAATTATATTTATTATTTATATTTTTAATTTTAGTTTCTGTTTTTGAAACATGGTAATTCATGTGTAGCGATAGGAGCATATTTTGAAGTAGTAAATTTATAATATATATATATATATATATATATATATATATATATATATATATATATATGTATGTATATATATACGATAACAAATATTTAAATATTTTCCACAGAATTAAAGAATAAAAACAGCATATTCTAAAAAGAAAGTTTAATTTGGAAGCAATTTCCATCGGTATTGATTTGTTTTGTTTTTTCAATAATGTTCAAGTCTATCCAAATTTATTCTTAATAATCTCTCATTTCAGAACTATTACAGCTTTTACGAACTTTTCTTTTACTTCCCCCCAAATGTGATTCTCCATAGAGAAATAAATGGCAATCATATTGATCAAAGTTGGAACTTTCACGCCAACATTCTGCATGTTTGAGTTTTCGGTTTATCGTGGCGAAAAAGATTCTCTTGTGAGTGGTAAAGACTAAATGTTTCTGGACCAAAAATTACTATCTCTACAATTTTAAGCTTCATTCCTTTTCGATTCATTTTTTTTTTTTCCTTTTTTTTTAGTAATATCCGCGTTTTCACAGAAAACCTCGACAGTCATGTGATGTTTTCAAAGTGCAAGAGACCGTAATGATTATCAGTACAGAAAAAAGAATAGGAAAATTGAGTTCAACTGAAGCAGTTTATATCAATTTAACAATTATGTCCTTGGGAAAGGCAGAAATCTATTTCTCCCTGTGCTCTGTTAAATAATATCTTCATAAAATATCTCACGAAGAAAATAATTGGTAGATAAACAACTGAATAATCTTCTCGTTCGAAATCCAATCAATATATCCGTAACCTGGTACAGATAAAAGCTGAATTCTGATCTGAATTTTTCAGTGTATAATAATCGATATATATGTTTACGTGTCAGTGTTGAATCAAGAGGAGTGATATTGAAAAGATTATGTTGAAAAATAAATTTTAATTGAATAAATTAAACGCTATTTTTTTTTATTATTAGGCTACGGATTTATTCATTTGCTTACGTATATTAAGTCGTTCGTATTCTTCGCTTTTTTTCCCATCAGCATTTTTTAAGGCTTTTCAGTATGACGACATCTCTTTCTCCTCCTTCGTGCCATTATTTCCACGCCATCTTGTAAGGGACAGGGCTGTCAGCCATAGCCCAACCGGTTTTAAATACAATTACCTTTCTCGGGTTGCCAAGCAAAGCTATAGAATCCAGTCATCCTTACGATTTAACTCTTTTTCAGTGCAACGAACTCGGTTAGAATTTGAACTTGACAAGCCGATTGTCAATGACGACATCACGGCACGTGAGAAATGAAACAAGTGTTAGATGTCGTCATCGAATACTTGCTTTATTTCCAACTCTTCATAATTAGATTAAACGTTCCTGCCTGGATTGACGGAGCTGCGACTGCCACCTCTTCCTCTTCCGACTCAAAAAATTGTATATATATTTATCTTTAAGGTCGATGTTCGAATCAACGTAAAAAGTTTATATTTTCAATGCTAATTTTTTTAAAGACAAGTAGACATATTGTTTCCACTTCACACAATGCTATAATCCTATCTAGAATTTCTCATCGCATTTAGTTTGCGACATACAATAATCAGATTAGTAAATATCCCAATCCGTTAGCAGTTGCTACATTCTGTTGTGATTTTTTTATTTGGATTTGGAATAGTCGAAACATTTGTCACTTGTCGCCATTGATAGCGATTTAGTTTTATGTTTCTTACATTTTCAACCTTGACAATGTCATTTTGTTTTCTTCCGCTTTTTCTTTGGATTTATTTCTGCATATTGAACCAATTGTATAGAATTCTACAGTTTGACACCAAAATCTTTCATCTCAGTTGTTGTTTTCTCTTTATAGATAAAAGCGTCGTTTGCTTAGTTCGAGAAAAGAAAACAGGACAACAATAACAAAAGACAACAATCAGTCATATGTGCCACACGTGATACACGCTTAGGCGATCATGTATCTTTCAATACATGACTGACGAGGTAGATTTTTCCCCGCATTAGGTTGCCATTTCTTTCTGCGGTAGAACAGTTGCCATCCAGGGCTATAGAACTCGGTCTGTCCTGCTATTTACCCATAGCTGTGGGAGATGAAGAGGACTCATACCTTTCCCAAGGATTGATACTTATCTGGCACAGAGCTCGTCTCTGGGCTGGTGGTATCACGGCTACGACTAGCTTGGACCGGCTTCGGCATGGACCAGCTATGACAAGCCAAGACCAGCTATGACTAGCTCTGACCAGCTTGGACCAGCGGCCCGAGTGAAAACATTCGGGTGCCCACGTTAAAAACTGACCTTGTGTCACAACCTGACTCAGTGGGGGGGGGTCAAGTAAATATCTACCTTTCCCAAGGATATTAGCACGTAAGTGAATATGATGGATTCGACTGGAATTCGAACTCTGCACTACGATTCCTCAATCCAAGCCGTTATCCATTACTCCACCGTATTCTAAGAAGTAATTGAATTTGGAAATAATTTTTAAAAGTTACAGCTTTATTCAAATTTATTCTTAATAAACTCTCATTTCAGAATAATTACAACGTTTAAAAAGTTATTTCATTATTTTTGCGTGTTAGATTTACTGAAAATAGTAGAATCATCTGTCATTGGCTGGCGTGTGTTGAAAATAAATGCACCAATCTTGTGTTGTTGTTGTTGTTCTTCTTCTTCTTCTTCTTCTTTGTGCCATGACCCTTCGGGGCGTTGGCGATCATGGCTCTCCCCAATTTCCTGTTCCTTGCAGCTCTTAATAACTTTTGTCTTTTTGCCATCTCTCCCAAACCCTGCTCCACCATCCCTCCAGGTAGGCTGTGCATTGATTTCCTCCGGCCTTCTTCAATCTTTTCTATGGGTATCAAATTTTCCATTCTTTCTTTCCTCATTATATCCCCCTGAAAGTTCAACTGTTTTTTCCTGATATTAAGTATAAGTATCCATTTTGTTGCCATGTCTCTAGAACTTCATCAATGTTCACATTTTCGGTCCATAGTATTCTCAGCATCGTTCTGTAGAACCACATTTCTCTTGCTTCAAGTCTCTTCTTCATCTGTGAGGAGATTATCCAATATTCACTATTATAGAATAGGACTGATACTACATAACAATTCAGTACACTTTTTGTTTATAACGATATTTATGTGTTTCTTAATACTTTACTCAGCTTTTGGAGGCCATCTTTAGCTATTAGGATTCCTAATTGTGAGGGGCAACGAGTAGGTCAGCACGTAGGAGTTGCTGGACTTTCAACGAACAGCCCGAGAAAAAGCACGTGTTTGGTTCTTGTAAGAAAATGAACTTATGAATATAAAAGAGGCCGTTCTACTAAGAGTTGGTTGGTGGTATTATATGTGTTTTTTCACGGAGATGACAGGCGACTCTCAAGTTCGGATTTTTTTTTTTTTAGAATAACAAAATGCATCTTAGGACAATTTCTTTTTTTTTCCGTGGCGATTTTTGAGTGGTCAAATCCACTTAATAAAATGTTCATGTTGGACATTTAACTTTACGTTTCCCTCAAGATTACCTCGTATTTAACTTGGATTTTTTTCCCCATCAGGTTAACCATAGTCATTGTGAACGCCGTGATGAAACATTATCTGCAAAAGTAGTGCTTCGGTTTTGAATTCAACGAAGGCTGAAGAGCCCAGTCTGCACTACTATATAACCCATAGCTGGAGAGAGACGGGATGGATTCATACCATTTCCAAGATTATTTGCCTGAAAATGTATGTAACCAACTCGACTAGTCGATTTTTCATTGCACGCTGCTACGCATTACACAGCCTGTACATAGAAGTAATTGCTGTTAAACATTTTATTGTACGCATTACAATAGTTTTAATATAAACGATCTGTTAACATATAAGTTTAATATGATGCAAAACAGAGAAAAGAAATTGTTTTAGCGGTTCAGCGTCATCCGGGGATATTCAACTGATTTATATTTAATTTCGTTTTCTTTTATACGCCATACCACTTCAGGGAGTTGGCTCTCCGCAATTTTTTGTTCTTTATAGAGCTTAATAAAAGTCTTTATGCCATTCCTCCTAAACCTTGTTCTGCCAAACATTTACATAAACTTGTTAGGTAGGTTATGATCTCTTTCCCTTCGTTCCTTTTGCCTTTAATATGCTCTGTGAGTATCAAATTTTCCTCTTTCCCCATTAAGTTTACGAGAAATTTCAACAGTCTCTCTCTCTCTCTGGCTTTAAGTGTCTTTTTTTTATTATTTTCTCTAAACCTTCAGTCTATGGCACCCTTCTGTAAAACTACATTTTCGTTGCTTCATGTCTCTTCTTCATCTGTGAGGAGATTGTCCAGCATTCACTGCTATATAAAAGGACTGATATTACGTAACTGTTCAGTATTCTTTTCTCCGTTTCTAACGAAATTACGTTTTTAATAAAAACCGTTTTAGAAGTAACTTGATATGACTCTACTTAAATGTAATGCTCAAGTCTTGTCCATCGTCACCAACATCCTTCTATGGCTAGAACATGTAAAGATTTCCTTTTGAAATCAAAGGTTTCTTACAGACTTCAAAATGGATATTGACGCCGTAGCCTTTAGCACGTGCGCATGCGCCTAGAAACGTAAAGTTATCGTTAATGTGCTTCCTATTCGGACATTCCCCTTCATTCCTCGATCATTCATTGCTAGTTAGGCATTATTGATTAAATATACTGAGCTTAATATATCCGTACACACACACACACACACGCGAATATATATCACCACCTTATATATACATAATATGTTCATATGTTCAGCTTATATACATGCGTGCATACATACATATATATATATATATATATATATATATATATATATATATATATATATATATATATATGGGTGGGTGTGTGTGCACGATTGTGTGAGTTATCCAATTTCTGTATATATATATGTGTGTGTGTGTATATATATATGTGTGCTTATATGCGTGTGCGTGCATATATATATATATATATATATATATATATATATATATATATATATATAATGCATGGTTGTAACGAGAATCAGAAGACGATTTCAAAAGCGGTTAAAAATGAAATCGTGATTTTGTTGCGTTGAAAAACTGATGTTGCTGGCACCATTTGAATGATCTCGGACTTTCTTTGCATTCAGGAAAGTGACATATCCTCAAAGTCTATAACCGAAGTAAAATTCTTTTGTCTAGAATTTAAAGAACGCAAGCTTTTATTTCTTTCCGCATTTTCTACTTCCTTCTGAGAGTCCTCCATTTTTCATCAATCACATCTTCTTTTCTTTCTTCTTTATCATCTTTTCTTCTTTCATTTTCTTCTCTTTGTTCTTCTTTTTTTTATACTTTGTGTTTTTATTTTCTTTTTTCCATCCATTCTCCATTTCTTTTGTACTGCGTTCTTCTTTCGCTTTTTTACTTTCTTCTTTTTAATTCTTTCTTTATGCTTCTTTTCTCAATTTCATTTTTTCTTTTCTCCTTCTCTTTCTCCTTTTCTTCTTTTCATTCTTTTACGTCCAGTCTCCTTTCCTTTCTCTTTTCTTCCTTTTCTTCCTTTCTTCTTCATCCTTTCTTTCGGCATATGCTTAGTTCTTTTCTTTATCTGTTGCATCTTTTTCTTCCTACTTTTATTCTTTTGCTTCTTTTCTTTTTTTCTTTTTCGTCATCTCTTTTTGCTTCTTGTCTTGTTTTTCATTTTTTTTCTTTTTTTGCATTATTTCTTCTTTTAGTTTTTTCTTTTATCTCTTCTACCCTTTCTTTTCTTGATCTCTTTCCTCTCTCCTTTTCTTTCTGTTTTTCTTCTTATTTCATTCTTTTTTTATTTTTTATTCTTTACTTATTTTCTTTCCATGTCTTCTTTTTCTCCTTTCTATTGATTCTTTCTTCTTTTTTGTATTTCTTACATCTTTTCCACACATTTTCCTTTTCTTTTCTTCCTCTGTCCTTTTTCTTCATTTCATTTCTTCCTTCGTTTTCTTTTTCTTTCTTTCTTTCTTTCTTTCTTTCCTTATATCCATTATTTCTTCTTTTTTCTCTTTACTTTATTCATATTCTTCTTTTATTTCATTTTTTTTCTTACCGCATTTTCTCTCACAGTAATTAAGAAAAATATGAGAAATAACAAAATGAGAAAAGAAAAAAATGGAAGGAAAAGAAAAATGGAAAAAGAAAGAGAAAATGGAAGGAGAGGGAAAACGGAACGAAAAGGAAAGAGAAGGAAAAATATAAGGCAAAGGGAAAGAGAAGGAAAATAAAAACTAGAAGGAGAAGGAAAAATGGAAGTAGAGGGGAAGAAAGGAAGGCAATTGGAAACAAAAGGGAAAGTAAAACGAAAAATGGAACACAAAGGAAGGAATAATAGAAGGAGAAGAAAAAATGGTAGCAGAAGGCAAAATTAATGGAGAAGGGAAGAAGAAGAAAATAAAATAAGGAGGAAAGGGAAGAAAAAATGAAAGAAGGAAAATGGAATGAGAAGGAAAAATGGAAGCAGGAGGGAAAATAGAAGAGAAAGAGAAGGAAAAATGGAAGGAGAAGGAAAAATGGAAGAAGAAGAGAAGAAGGAGAATGTGAAAACGAAAGGAAAATCGATGATTGAAAAAGTGAGAAACAAGAATCTGAATATATAATCTATACAATAGGAAAATCAGAGACAAAAAACAAAAAAAGAAAGTGAGTATAAGGAAAATGAAGAGCAAGACGATAATAAAAAAGAAACAAAATATTGAGTAAGAAAAAAGTTGTATGAAGTTTGAAAAGAATTAAGAAAAAATAAATAAAAAATAAAAAGGGATCAGATTACAACTACAGAGATTAGTGCTATTAGAGATGACGATGTCGACTACCAGGTGAGGAAGTATTTATGTTTTGACAATAGAATTTGAGAAACGTTAAAGAAGATTGTATATAAGAATTTCACAAAGGACATTCTAATGCTACGGCTGGAAAAAAATGGTACCACAACCAATATCACCAAAAAATCAAACAATAAGCAAGAAAAAAAAGTCTAAATTACAGAATTTTTTGTTTTCTTTCTTTTTTTAAATTTTGTTCAGCTGTTTTTTGTGAAAAAAATCATTCTTTTTTATTTTAATCAATTAAATTTGAAAACATCGAATCAGAGATTAAATAAAAAAATTAAAATTTACTATTTATTTCTATATTTTATTGTTATATGTGATACAATAGTTTTTGTACTTTTTTACGGCACCCTTCTCAGTATTCTTGTTGATTTGGGCTCTGCTGTCATATGAATATTTCCGTATCAAGTCTCCCAAATACTAAATCACCCTCCTCAGTATTCTTGTTGATTTTGGCTGTGCTGTCATATGAATATTTCCGTATCAAGTCTCCCAAATACTAAATCACCCTCCTCAGTATTCTTGTTGATTTGGGCTGTGCTGTCATATGAATATTTCCGTATCAAGTCTCCCAAATACTAAATCACCCTCTTCAGTATTCTTGTTGATTTTGGCTGTGCTGTCATATGAATATTTCCGTATCAAGTCTCCCAAATACTAAATCACCCTCCTCAGTATTCTTGTTGATTTTGGCTGTGCTGTCATATGAATATTTCCGTATCAAGTCTCCCAAATACTAAATCACCCTCCTCAGTATTCTTGTTGATTTGGGCTGTGCTGTCATATGAATATTTCCGTATCAAGTCTCCCAAATACTAAATCACCCTCTTCAGTAATCTTGTTGATTTGGGCTGTGCTGTCATATGAATATTTCCGTATCAAGTCTCCCAAATACTAAATCACCCTCTTCAGTATTCTTGTTGATTTTGGCTGTGCTGTCATATGAATATTTCCGTATCAAGTCTCCCAAATACTAAATCACCCTCTTCAGTATTCTTGTTGATTTTGGCTGTGCTGTCATATGAATATTTCCGTATCAAGTCTCCCAAATACTAAATCACCCTCCTCAGTATTCTTGTTGATTTTGGCTGTGCTGTCATATGAATATTTCCGTATCAAGTCTCCCAAATACTAAATCACCCTCCTCAGTATTCTTGTTGATTTGGGCTGTGCTGTCATATGAATATTTCCGTATCAAGTCTCCCAAATACTAAATCACCCTCTTCAGTATTCTTGTTGATTTGGGCTGTGCTGTCATATGAATATTTCCGTATCAAGTCTCCCAAATACTAAATCACCCTCTTCAGTATTCTTGTTGATTTTGGCTGTGCTGTCATATGAATATTTCCGTATCAAGTCTCCCAAATACTAAATCACCCTCTTCAGTATTCTTGTTGATTTTGGCTGTGCTGTCATATGAATATTTCCGTATCAAGTCTCCCAAATACTAAATCACCCTCCTCAGTATTCTTGTTGATTTTGGCTGTGCTGTCATATGAATATTTCCGTATCAAGTCTCCCAAATACTAAATCACCCTCCTCAGTATTCTTGTTGATTTGGGCTGTGCTGTCATATGAATATTTCCGTATCAAGTCTCCCAAATACTAAATCACCCTCCTCAGTATTCTTGTTGATTTTGGCTGTGCTGTCATATGAATATTTCCGTATCAAGTCTCCCAAATACTAAATCACCCTCCTCAGTATTCTTGTTGATTTGGGCTGTGCTGTCATATGAATATTTCCGTATCAAGTCTCCCAAATACTAAATCACCCTCTTCAGTATTCTTGTTGATTTTGGCTGTGCTGTCATATGAATATTTCCGTATCAAGTCTCCCAAATACTAAATCACCCTCTTCAGTATTCTTGTTGATTTTGGCTGTGCTGTCATATGAATATTTCCGTATCAAGTCTCCCAAATACTAAATCACCCTCCTCAGTATTCTTGTTGATTTGGGCTGTGCTGTCATATGAATATTTCCGTATCAAGTCTCCCAAATACTAAATCACCCTCTTCAGTATTCTTGTTGATTTGGGCTGTGCTGTCATATGAATATTTCCGTATCAAGTCTCCCAAATACTAAATCACCCTCTTCAGTATTCTTGTTGATTTTGGCTGTGCTGTCATATGAATATTTCCGTATCAAGTCTCCCAAATACTAAATCACCCTCTTCAGTATTCTTGTTGATTTTGGCTGTGCTGTCATATGAATATTTCCGTATCAAGTCTCCCAAATACTAAATCACCCTCCTCAGTATTCTTGTTGATTTTGGCTGTGCTGTCATATGAATATTTCCGTATCAAGTCTCCCAAATACTAAATCACCCTCCTCAGTATTCTTGTTGATTTGGGCTGTGCTGTCATATGAATATTTCCGTATCAAGTCTCCCAAATACTAAATCACCCTCCTCAGTATTCGTTTTTTTGTTTGTTTATTTTAAATTTTAAAGACACCGGAAGAAGGAATGCGATATTTATGCTGCGAATGATATCAGTAAAATAAATTCAAAGGATATATACCTATGTTCTATAGATTATGCAAACGTTTAAAAAAAATGTACGGCACAAAAAAAAATGTTCGAACTGCTAAGTTAAGCTTGGGAAAGATATTAGAATGATCCAGAACATATACTGGGCGCAAACCGTTTACAAACGAATACAAAATGAATTCAGTAAATTGCACAAAAATTAAAAAAAATTGTACGTAAAACAAGAATGGATGTGTTCACCGAACTTATTCAACCCATACAGTGAGGCAGCTCTGAGAAAAGATACACAAAATGTAACATTTTAGTAAAGGGATTAATTTGGGTCACTCTGTAGTTTTTGGTCACATTGAAAGATTATCTCTGAATATATATTGTTTCTCCATAGTTTATTATAAAACAATAGAGAAAGAAGACATGATTTAGTGTGATAGCGTTTCAAGTCCGACAACTCCAACACGACTAAAATATGGTATAGATTCTATCACAATTATCAATCATTAATTCAGTTTGTTTTCAAAATTACCTGATCAGTAGATCTAACAAACAGCTCTTTCAAGGTAGATAGTCAATGAATTCTGTAGCATCTTTGGCAAAATCTTTATCTATATTCAGTCGTTAAAATATTTGATGATCACATACTATCTTTTACGAAAACAGTTCTAACATAAAATTATTATCTTTTTTGACGAACTCTTCAATAAATGTTTCAATATTTTTAATTTATTGGAGAGGCTGACTAGACAAAACTTGTTGCAAGAAGCTAGAATCTGATAGAAAATCTATTAGACAAATCTTGAAAATATGCTATATGTTACAAGAACTTCATAGAGCAGCTATACGGACTATTGCCACGTTGCAAGTGAAACAGTGTCGTTGCAAAAGTTTTGTCATTTAGCAAAATAACCGACTGACTTTCTCACTAAAAAGAGATTGGTTGTCTTCTAATGTTTCACCCAGTCGACAAATGAACAATATTTTATCCACATTCCAGTAATTCGTTACAAAGAATTATATTTATATCCCACCAAATAGAAGGAAGAACATATTCCTCGCTAGATTTTGTTTATTTTGAAAAAGATTGTCAGAGATCTAGCCACGGTGTTCTTTATTTTGGATTGCCCGTTTTCAATCTCGAATGACTGCTGTCTCCCAAAATGACTTTTTGTGTTCAAAGCTTCGTTGCATTTTATAAGCAAAACTTACTCGTATTAAAAGAGCTAAATGCTATTTTCGTTATGTCAATGACATCTTTTGTGTTTTACAGTGTGGTGGAGTATAAACTTGTTTTTTTTTTTTTTAAGTGATTAAATGAACCATTGGCTGCTTTACGATTCCCTCCTGAAAAAGAGGACAATGCTATTTTTATATTTTTTGGATATTTCGGGTACAAATCGAATTGCTCCCTGTTAATTTGTTTTAAAACCAAACTTAATTCAAAAATTGAATTTATAAAGAAGGTTTCAGGGTATTAATGTGTTCCTTCTCGATTTCGTGCTAAAATTGTACAGTTCAGTCAATCTAAGTTAATTGGTCCGCAAAAACGTCTATTTGCGAAAAATAAAACGTCTATTTACCATGGATTGGTAATGTTAACATGAGATTTACTAAATAAATTTATAACAGTGGGCAACATTGTTATTTATCTCACAATCTTTACTGCCCCACTTAAGTTGCGGACAATTCATAATTGAATACCTATTAAGTAGTCTTAAGAGTGCCTTGACCTTTACTAAAGATATGTTCTTAGTAACACATTC